TTCTTTGCATAGTTATAGAATTTATAAGAAAAGCCCTAAATGTTCATTGTCAGCTCAAAGCTACAGAAATAAGAAGAAATTAGTTTAGGTCTTTTCATGTAAATTCTATAACTTTGCAAAGAAATGTGATGTAAAGCTGGGAGATGTCTCATTTTAATCAGAAATTTACGGACTACAATTGTGCCTCATTAAGAAAGATTTTGGTTATTTTTTAGAGTTTCTGAAAAACCATACCGGATCTTCAAAGGACTAAGGGCAACCCCCATGGTCATATTGGGAATCAGTATGGTCGATAACCTATTATTCTTCAGTTTTCGTATTCTATTTTTATTCTAGTTTTCGTTCGGACAGCGAACAGTTGGGGAACTTCCCTCGTAAGTGAAATTCCGTAATGCTACCTTTTGCAACTATATCGTATCACTTTTCAAATAAAAACTAGTTGAAATGGTAGCCCTAGAAATACAGAACCTTAATATGCTAAATGACTTACAGAATTCTCCTAGCTTGTTTGAACAATTTTTAAAATAGCGATTTTTCGTTACGGAATTTCATTAAAAATGCGCAAGTTTTCTGATTAATTTTCAAAAGCACGTAAAAGCTAGAGCAAGAATTGATACGATCAGTAAACAGAACAACTTCTTCTCTATCCAGCAATGTATTTTTCTTAAGCTGAAACGTCAAGAAGAACGAGAAAAAATAATAAAAACATATGATATCAAACGTACCACGTTATTGATGATTCATCTCAATGTTCACCGAATATTTTCCATGTGTTCAGGTACTAATAAAACAAACGAAAATTATTTTCCTACACTTTAAAGTGTGCTCTTTCACATAAAATTAGTTTTACCACTTCATTTAACGCTTCATGCTTCCGCACTCTGGTGTACCGTTAGCTGACCAAGCCGTGTGGTTATTTCACTATTTATATTAGACAGGCAGCAAGAGGTGAGAGAAGGAGAGCGAAGCAGCATCGCGATGCGTTCGACGAGAAAACTTTTCACGCAGCGGTTCACACTCAAGAGAATGATCAAACTAACTGGAATTCAGAGATCCTTCAAATAAAAAAGAAAATAAAAAAATTAAATAAAAATTAATAAAGAAATAGAAAATAAAAAAATTTTGTCCGTAAAACATGAAAAAAACAATCCATTCAAGCCAGAAAACTTTTTGCTGATTTTACGAACTGGTTAAAAAGAAATCTTGATTCCAATCCCGGTCCCGATCAAAATCTTCCCTTTGGGGCCGGAACCGGAACGCTCATGTTCATGTCTAATCATGAAGTCATCATCATGAATATACAATACAGAATCTATACAGTGATAAAAAATAACATCCACAATAATAACAACAGCAACATACAGTTGAACATTGCTGAGTCTATCAATACGCTTTAGTTGATGAAGCCGAACAACTCTAAAAAATGCATTTTTTGCTTGTATCTCTTTCTCTTTTTGCTATAATTAGTCCAAGACATTGTGTAAGTACAAGCAAAGTATTTTTTGGTTCATAAAAAGCATTTCATATGAATTTCTCTATCTATAAACTTTAATATGACCAACAGAACTCTTTTAGATCAAACTGAACACCATTTTACAGATAGATTTCACATCAAGAAATGTCTGCCTGATTGCTTCTCTCTGCTAAAGTGTATACCATTGTTTTCGGTTTCATGAATTGTACAAGACAATTTTCGTTATTGGCGCAATCGAATGAGTTCAGAGAAGCTCAAAATTACCGCAGACTGTATAAGAAAATCGCTGTGTAAGGGATCGTAAAAATGTCGAATCGCTCAAACATCGGATGGGGTCCTCACTGACACGCTTAGAGTGGTATACAGGATTTACTTTTCGATGATTAATTTTTATTTTAATTAGCTTTTTTCTTACAGAAAAGGAAATATATATGTTTTTTTTGCTATAATGGATTTACTTTCCGATAATTAGATCAAATATCTATATTAATTAAACAGTCTGATATATAGGGATTTACTTTCCAATAATTAGATAAAATATGTATACTAATTAAGCAGTATATACTTTCCACTGATTTGGAAGAAGTGTACAGTTAAGTAGCCAGTTGGCTAATGATTGTCCTTCCGAAAGGGAATCTGAGTAATAGTCACAAAGTTTGAATTAATGGGAATGAGCAATTTTCAGTATATTCTGTTGCTAAATGAGTGACAAATACTGACAAAACAATGTTAACAGTCACAATGTTTGAGTGAATTTAAGTAGTTATCAGAGTCAGGATGTTTATTATAACTTATATAAAGGTCGGATAAACCGTACTTATCTCACAGTTATTCGAAAATGTCTGCTAACTTCGTTGAATCTACTCATGGTAAAAGACAACTAAATCATCTTGGCTATTGATATTGTTTTAAACGTAAAAATATAAATTCGGAATACTGGGTATGTCACATACCCAGTATGCTTTGCATTGTACACATACCGTATGTGTACAATGCAAAGTCACAACAACAACTTATCCAAATTTATCAGTCGTCGTACGTTATAATCACACACATTTACCAGATGAATCCTGCGCAAAAATATTGGAAATTAGAAAATTGTTAAAACGTAAAAGTACTGCAGAGGCAGGTCCAATTGACTGTATAGTTGAAGAAGCATATAATAATGCCAATCGTCAATCTTCATCAACTGATTTACTTACTAACTTTCCACTACTGCATATAATGAAAAATACATTACAAAGACATCGTCGGAAAAATCGTCCACCAGTTCCACATACAATAGAACAATTGCCATTTCCATTACCGGACACATACTATAAAACAACAAATGGTGAATCGTTTTTATTATATGATGGATTACTTGCTGGCACTCGTTCACTCATTTTCTCGTCATACGGTGATATCGTTCATCTATCGCAACAAGAACATTGATACGGTGATGGTACATTTTATACATGTCCTTCAGTTTTTTACCACATGTATTCAATTCACGCATATTGTGATGGAATATCAACACCATTCATTTTTGCATTACTTCCATCCAAATCAGAAGAAGATTATTTTCATCAATTTGCGGTAATATTCAGAAAAATGATGGAATTTCAATTAATTATTCGCTTACGAACATTCACAATTGATTTTGAATTAGGCGTTTCAAAGTTATTCACTAAATATTACCCAATTGTAACTGTTAAAGGTTGTTTATTTCATTACGGACAAAGTCTTTTTCGTAAATTTGTTGAACTTGGTTTAAAAACTCCATATAAGGACGATGAAAATCTTCGCGATTGGTTTAGATCGTTCGCAGCATTATCATTATTACCAATAGCACATCTGTGGTGCGGATTACAGCATTTAATTCGTACTAAACCAGCTTATGCGAATATTACACAATTTCCTGATTATTACCATCATACATATGGTCCGTTTGGTCGATTTCCACCACATATGTATAATCATCATCACAATGTAATGCCTCGCATAATTAATTATTTGGAAGGCCGCCATTCAAGAATAAAAAAACATGTAAATGCACCACATCCTTATATTTACGTTTTCATTGATATACTGCAGAAAGAACAATCGCTAGCATCATTAGCAAGATTACGGGATGATACGGGTGCACCAGCTCCAAAACGAAGAAAAAATAAGATAATAACAGATGAATGTTTAATGGAATTATGGCAACGTTATGACGATGGACTGATTGATATTCCAAGTTTCTTAAGGGCTCCTGGTATGAGATACTTTCAATGTCCTTCCAAAAGTTGATTTTTTTTTCTATTTTCTATTTTTCTTTCATATTCTCCACGTAAATCGACTAATAAATTACTTAAGTACTTTGTGACTATTAACATTGTTTTGTCAGTATTTGTCACTCATTTAGCAACAGAATATACTGAAAATTGCTCATTCCCATTAATTCAAACTTTGTGACTATTACTCAGATTCCCTTTCGGAAGGACAATCATTAGCCAACTGGCTACTTAACTGTACACTTCTTCCAAATCAGTGGAAAGTATATACTGCTTAATTAGTATACATATTTTATCTAATTATTGGAAAGTAAATCCCTATATATCAGACTGTTTAATTAATATAGATATTTGATCTAATTATCGGAAAGTAAATCCATTATAGCAAAAAAAACATATATATTTCCTTTTCTGTAAGAAAAAAGCTAATTAAAATAAAAATTAATCATCGAAAAGTAAATCATGTACACAGCTTAGAGTGTGATAATAGACCCACTCTTAATAAAATTAGTTAATAGTAATTAGAGAGCTTCCTATCATGATATAGGAAATTTCTGAGGTAATTTCCATCCATAAGCACAGATATTGACTGCAGATAAAGGAAAATTTATGTTGCATTTGTATTAAATTAGCATACAATACGGATAATTCAATCGTACGGCAAAAGATAATAAAAATATATTATTTTTCGTTCTGTTACAAAAAAAGAATCGTTTGGTGCAATAACTCATCGAAAATAGAAAATGTATAAAATGTATCTAACGGATGGCGCATAAAAAACTGGACTTTTTTGTTTTGCCTATAACTCCGCCGGTTTTCACCCTATCGATCCAAATATTTTCCAAAAGATTCCCCATTCAATTCTCTATCAAGAGCTCTTCTTTTATTAATGTAAATAATCTCCGTTATTTTCTTTCAAACGATACAATCTCTTGGTCCAACTCTCACAACTTTCCAGTACAACTTCTTTTCTAATTCGTTTCACAGCTCGCTTCAGCTCTGCAATTAACTTTGTCTTTGACTGAACTTTGTTCCAATTGACTTAATGAACAAATTCGTCCCAGATAGAGTAGTCTAAAGGGTTCAAGTCGGGAGAATTCGGGGGCCAATGATCTTTGTCACTAAGTCCAGGAAAATGATCATTGCACCATTTTTGAGAAAGTTGGTGAATATGAGGCTTGGCACCATCTTGCTGGAACGTCCAGTCATCTCCAAACACGTTATTTCCATACTTTAGACTCACAAGAAGTACTTCATCGATATATCGTTGATGATTTACTGTGCCATTATCGAAAATAACCAAAGGAGTTACGTCTTCTTCTTCTGAACAAACGCCTAACCAAACCATGACTTTTTGTGGAAAGTGCTGTTTTTGTTTAACGCCGCCATTCTTATCAGCTTCGGCACAATTCACAGCCAGATTGATCGTTTTGACAGTTGTACATACCACTGCGATCAAACATTTTCTCGTCCGAAAAAAGAATTCTCAAAGATTGTTCTTTCGAAAAATTGTGACGAACCCAATTTGCAAACGTCATTTATTTAGCTTTTTGAGTGTCTGTGAGTAGTGGTTCGATTCTTTTCTTGTACGACGTTAATCCTAAATCATTTTTCAAAATTCTCTGCACACTTCTTCTTGAAATTTTAAGTTCACCGGCCAGTTTTCGAGTTGAGACGCGTTTCTTCCGCTTCAAACGGTTTTTAACTTTTTGAATCGTATTTTTTGTTCGAATAATACGAGGTCGACCTGGAGACGTTGACAGTTCAATAAAGCCAGTCTCGGCGATCATTTTGCACCATTGAAAAACCTGAGTACGACTAATGGCATCCTTCAAATCCCGAAATATCTTGCTGGGTGTTTCTTCATTTTGATGCTTAAAAAGTATCAATTTTTGGAGGTCTTTACTTTTCATGATTAAAAAATTTTTCGTAGAAGAATCTGAAAAAGACGAAAAAATTGGTATTGATATCACCAGAACGTTTTTATTGGTCAATAAATTCTTCGACAACCGGTATAGTCGGTAGTCATTTACTGATCACTTTCTTTTGAATATAATCTCGCAGATAATCAACACATTTTTCTTGATCTTCTTTACACGTGTAGATTATTAGATGTAGAGTCCAACTCAGATTTGACTAACTACTATGAACACTA